ATATATTAATGGTTGCATAGTATTGTATTTTATGGATATTCTATGTTTGCAAGATATTTAGGTTGCTTAGTTTTTCCTCACTGTTGACACATGTATCTCAATTTCTTGCAGGAAATTAAATTTGACAGTCAAAAGTATATAAAATTTAATAACAGCAAAACTACTTCCTATGTGTTGTTGTTGTTATGTGCTGGTAAACTAGAAATGACTCACAGCTTTTACTCATATGTATTAATAATTGTCAAATGCTTTACCTAGATCCTCTCATTTAATCCTTATAATAATCACGGATACTCTTAGCATCTCCACTTTACAGATCAGGCCAAAGTTTAACTTAACAATATCAAATGCTAATGATATGTTCTGACCCTAGGCAAATGCTTATAATCACTCTACTAAGCTACATTTTATATACATTATCAGATAACATTTTCACAGGCGGATCTAATTTAATACATTTGCCAGCAGTGTTGAAAAGTTCTTATTTCCCCACAATTATGCTAGCTTTGGTTACTTTATTATCTTTTTTTTTTTTTAAAAAAAACAAAACACTGATTCATTTTCCTCTGGTTAAATAAATGATACCAACCAAGATAGGCCACTTCTTTCCAGCACAGGCCCATTTCTTTTCTCCATTCATCTACAATTGTGAGCTTGTCCGATACATTGATTTCCATTTTGCAATCCAGTTTTAAGGCAGATAGTGTCTGCTTTGAACAGGCTCTTTCTGAGATTAATCTCACCTTAGAAAAAAAAAAAAAGAAAAAAATAGAATAATGGCAAGTGAATGATGCTGAAATCCTGTAAAGTAAAACTTTGGAAATAGTATTGTCATAAGTTAGTCATCCTTTGACATTCTGAAGGACCAGTTAATATAAAATTAACCAACTGCCATTTAAAATTATAAAGCCTGAACAAGTTTTATCACTAATAGTCCTTAAGGTAAAAAAAAAGGTAAGAGATGCACTGTTTTATATTGTGGAAAAGTTTCTGCTTGCAGGTAAAACAAAACCACATACATTGTCTGCTACTAACCTAACCACCCCTATAATTACATTTTTCCAGAGGCAGCAGGTTTTTTGTGCTACTTTTCAAAACACAGTTAATATTTCTGGTGGATTATAAGAAACGATTTAGCTTACATTTTTTTGTTTTAAATCTTATAGATGAATTAAAACTTTCAGTAACAAGAACACTTACATTAGTAAATGCACAAGCTATCTGCCTTTTTAAAAATGCTAACCTCCATTATCTGAAGACCTCTTTCTTGTCTAATTCCATGGGAGATACTAGATACCTCTTATTTTAAATCATATTCTGTTACTTATTGACCAAATGAAAACTATTATTTGACAAATTTCTAATTTTACTCATCTGAAAGCAAATGGTTCCACTGTTGTCTAGGCATTGGAAGACAAAATCTCATATAAATAGATATTACTGAAAAATGTAATGTCTTCATTCCCTCCCATGCTTTTTCCCTGAGTTAACGTCACATAAACTATATTCAGGGGGCACCTACCTCAATACCACTTTTCTTTAATAAACTTATCCCAATAGCATCTTTTACATCATAAGATATTATTTCTTTTTGGTCTCCTGATACATAAATGTGGCCATTGGTGAGACATCCATCAATATTGCAAATCAAAAGTTTTATCTCCTTAAGCTTCTCTTTGCCAAAATAGCCATATCTAAAAGAAACCAAAATGGACCTTTGAAAACATTTGCAATCCTAATTACTGCCTCTATCACCTCATTATCCATTAAATTGCTCTAACAATACCCATCAATTTACTTCATATTTGCAGTACCACTTACTGTGTAAGTCTTGTGATCTAGCTAGACCAGGTGTTTCAGTTCTTGCATAACTGACATCACCATTTATAGAGATACTTTTATGTATGTATGTTTGCCACTTGTACAAATTAATTCTAATGATCCTAAGGTCTTATGCTAAATCAGTATCTAAAAATACAGTCAGATCCTTCCACTAAAACTACCATGCAGTTCTAGTGCAAAAAAGGCTCCACGAGTCTTTTTACCTCAATACTCTTTGTTCTGCAATAGGCCAGTCAATATCCACATCTATATCCACACTGTGCTCAGCTCGCATTTCATAGTATGCCATTTTTCCACCCTAAAGATAATATAAATGTGTTAGAAATATGTTTTGGCCATTCTTTCAAAAAGGTTATTTTGCAACAAAAAGGTTATTAAGAAGATACAGAACACTAAATATTTTCCCACAGTATTGAAAAGAAGATGGGTAAAACCATAATATCAGTGATATGCAACAGATGATTTTTTTTGGAGGGGAGCAGTTCCCTCCACATCTCCAAACCACACAAAAATACAAAACCCTTAAAAATTTCTAAATTATATCTATACAGTGCAAGGTTCTCATTTTTATTTTAAGACTGACTAAAGCAGAAATAATACTCATTCTCCAATATTTGACCGCAAAGAATCTTAAGGAAATTCCCTCAACTGGACTGACCCCTTTGTTCACCTAGCTGTCTCTCTCATTATCATCCAAGAGTTGCATAAAGGGTTTTGCAAATTGTTCCAATTTGCAACTAAAAGGCAAGACATGGAAGACAAGTAACTGTGGTATCTATCATATGGAACTGTCATAGGTCCGGCTCATACATGAACAAGGCAGGAAACAGTCTCTCCTCATCCTGGATCGGAGCTCTTTCCAATGACAGTAATTATTGAATCACTAGGAAAACTATTTTTCTAAATTATCAGTTTTTCACGAATACATTACAATGAGAAAATTCATTTCCCCCCACACTTTAGGAAAGGTTTAGACCACAGTCCCCCTTGTTCCAAGTCTACTTCTCCTATACAGTTTTCTAAAGCAAAAAACTTAAAAAAATGCTCTAATCTCCCTCAATAACGAGTCCATATTACAATTTTCACCTTGTATGGGGTTTTGTTTCATTTTTTAATGGTACTTTTTAAGGAACAAACAAACAAACCTGAGTCCATGTCCTGACCATAAAATTTAACAACTATTTTTTGTCTTGAACCAATTATTTTATTTTTCAGAGTTGCCTCTGAATTACTTTATTTTTCAGAGTTTCCTCCTATGTAAGATTAAAATATAAATGTCTAGCTCAAGAAGTTGTGCAGATTGTTTGAGGTCACTCATAACAATGTATTTCATCCAAGTGTACAATCCTTGGTGCATAGTAAATGCTGACTAAATAACTGGTAGAAATAACAAATGGTATATGATACAACCAAGCAGAGAATTCACAGAGCACTAAAGATGAGCGTGATGTTCAACCTCCTCATAATAAACTGACATTAATGAGATACTGATTATACTTATTATTATATTCAGTAATAGGAATTGGCAGGCACAGAAGAATTTCATGAAACAACATATGAGCAAGAGCCTATGGTGATGAATGAAGAAGTTCAGGCAGCTTTGAAGGAAATAGCAAAGAATAAGGCCCCAGGAATAGATGGTATACCAATTGACATTATTTCTGCTAACAGATGCTTCCCTGGACGTACTCACCAAGTTGTGCCAAGAAATCTGGAGAACAACCACTTGGTCAACTGACTGGAAAAGATCTATATTTGTTCCCATTCCAAAGAAGGATGACCCAACAGAGTGTGGAAACTATAGAACAATCTCACTGATTTCACATGCAAGCAAGATTCTACTGAAGATTATCCAAGAACTACTGGAACAGCACATTAGCAGAGAACTGCCAGAAGTCCAAGCTGGGTTTAGAAGGGGTCGTGGTACTAGGGATACTGTAGCTAATGTTAGATGGATTTTAGGTGAAAGCAGGGAATACCAGAGGAATGTCTATCTGTGTTTCATTGACTATGCAAAGGAGTTTGACTATGTGAATCATAACAAACTGTGGCTGACTCTGAGAAGAATGGGAATCCCAGAACACTTGATCGTGCTAATGAGAAACCTATACTTGGACCAGGAGGCAGACATCAGAACAAAGCAAGGGAACACTGCATGGTTCAAAATTTGGAAGGGCGTATGCCAGGGATGCATCTTATCTCCATACCTTTTCAACCTGTAGGCAGAACAGATTATCAAGGAGGCTGGGCTCTATGAGGAGAAATGTATCAGGATTGGTGGAAGATCTATCAACAATATGCATTATGCAGATGACACAACCCTGCTTGCTGAAACTGAGGAGGACCTGAAGCGCTTGCTGCAGAGGGTCAAGGACTGCAGCCTACAATATGGATTGAGGCTCAATGTCAAGAAGACAAAGATTCTCACCACTGGTCCAATTGGCAGCATTAGGATGGATGGTGAAGAGATTGAGATTGTTCACAGCTTTAGTTTGCTTGGGTCCACAGTCAACACTCTTGGCACCAGTAGACAGGAAATTAAAAGATGCATTGCCATGGGAAAGTTTGCTGTTAGGGACCTCTCCAAGGTTCTGAAGAGCAATGGTGTCTCTCTGGAGACGAGGATGTGTCTGATACAGGCCATGGTCTTCACAATCACTTGTTATGCATCAGAGAGCTGGACAATGACCAAGGAGGATAGAAGGAGAATTGATGCCTTTGAGCTGTGGTGCTGAAGAAGACTGTTGAGGGTACCATGGACTGCTAGGAAAACAAACAGATTCATCCTGGAGAGGGTTAAACCAGGCTGCTCCTTGGAGGCAAGGATTCTGAGGTTTCATCTTACATACTTTGGACATGTTATAAGGAGGAACCGGTCCTTGGAGAGGGACATCAAGCTTGGCATGGTAGAGGGACAGCGCAGGAGAGGAAGGCCCTCTATGAGGTGGATTGATTCAGTGACTGGGATAATCAGGATGGGAGTGTCGGAGATAGTGCGATTACCACAGGACAGAGCAGAGTTTAGGGCTATTGTACATAGGGTAGCTATGAGTTACAAGTGACTCGATGGCACTTAACAACAACAATAGATATTCAGGTCTAGTCAGTGATAGGTACTCTTTCACTTCTACTGCATTGGGGCTTTTTCCTTTCTCTTTTTAAAACATTAATCAATTGTAGGCCTACAATCTGACAGTAATATTGCAAACAAGGTTTTGAAATGAATACTAAGAGATCTGAAGAACTTTCAGTACTTGACTCATTTTTATCTCAGTATTACAATTATAGCAGAATTCCTTGCATATTTATTGAATGAATGACAAAGATCAGCACTGCAGGATTAAGTGCTTCGGATGATGAATTCTGTCAGTTAATAACTTGTCTCTATGAGTTGACATCTCTTTTTATGAACTAGGCCAAGCCTCTTTCTAGAAATCAAAGCATACATACAAAAAGATTGAAAAGGCTTTTACACAAACCTGTAAGTAACCCATCTCTATCAAATGTCGTTTAGCAAAATAAAATGAGCCATTTTCATATAATTCTCCGTCCCAGTCTTGTCTACGAGGTCGTTTGGCTGGATTCAAATTCAGAGGTTCAGTCACTTCACGGACTAAAAGAAAAAAAAGCTACAGTTAAGTCTACATCACTTTGGTGGTATTTTTACCTAGTTTTTTAAAATTTGGTTTTCTTTCAATAATCCATAAGCATTTTGTTTTCTAGTATTACAGTTGAGCAATGCTATTAAGTATGTCTCATCAAATCCTCACTCTGCCTGGCCTTTCCCTTGACCTTACTCATCCATCCATTAATCTGTGCTGCACTCTCCCTCTCCTCCCTGTCTTATCAATCCTCCACATCATTTCTTTAGCTTGCTGTGCTTAATTTTTTTTTTAGCAGTGGTCTTATATTGTATTTGTCCTGTTGTGACTGGCTTATTTCACTTAACCTCTTCATACTGTATGATGTTTCATGAGTTCTCCATTGTTTTTGAGTACCACATTAAACCCGTATTACTTTGAATACAAAGAAATATTCACTGAATGAAGGACATCCAGTAACTTAAACAAAACCAAAAAGTAAAATGAAAATAAACTTGGAAAGGGCGCTCTGGTGGCCTAGTGGCAAGATGCTGCACTAAAATCTCAAAAGTGCACAGTTCAATTCCACCAGATGCTCTGCTGGAGAAGGAGGAGCAGTCTCTTCTTGTGCCAGTTGAATGTGATTAGAAGATATACAAGAAAAATTTTTAAAAAATGAAAAAATAAAAAATTTTTTAAAAATCAACTTGGAATATAGAAACTGTAAAGTGTTTCGCTATTGTCAAAGATTGGTGGTTCAATCCCACCCAAAGATGTCTAAGAAAACTCGCCTGACAATTTACTTCTAAAAGGTTATAGCCTCAAAAACCCAATGAGGCAGTTCTACTCTCCACAGATGAAGTCACCATGAGTCAGCAGTGACTTGCTGATAACTAAAAAGAGATAAATATTTAAAAGACCCATTTATTTAAAAGAAAGAAAATCCCTACTAATTCCTACTTAAGCATAGAAAACGAAAGTGTTTTATAAAAAAATTCTGGATAATTATGGTTTGAATTAGTATTATAAATGTAATACTGTGGGGAAACAGGAAAGTAACATTGTATGGCTTAGAAAGAGCTAAACTTGACCAAAAAAGTACCCATATTCATTCAATACATGCTGGAGCTCTCGTGGCCTAGCGGCAAGAAGCTGCACTGCAATCCTCAAGACGCATGGCCCAAATACACCAGCTCCATAGGAGAAGGGTGGGCAATCTCCTCCTTTGCAATTAACTGCCTCTGAAAACTGGCTTGAGGGTCAGCTATGGGTCGGTTCTGACTTAATGGTACACAACCACAAAAACAACATAACTGATGAATGATTTGCTTCTAGCAAATACATTCTTTATCTAAAACGGTTGAGAAATTACATTTCTGTACTTATTCTAGAAAACTTCACAAATTGTGGAAAACTTTTTGATGAATTTATATACCATGCATTCTTACTGTTGTTAGGAGCCATTGAGTGGAGTACAGGCCATAGCGACCCTATGAACAACAGATCTGAACCCAGTTCTATCCTGTGTCAATCTTACACTTTCTGGAACATTGGAACCCAGTGTAGCAGTCGCCATGTCAATCCACCTGGTCTAGGGTCTTCCTCTTCTTTGTCGACTCTCCACCCCTCCAAACACTGTGTCCCTCTCCAAGGAATAGCGCCTCCTAGCAACTTGCCTGAAGTATGTGAGGAGAAGCCTCATTATTCTTGCCTCCAAAGAGCACCTGGCTGCACCCTCTCCAAGACATATTTGCTCTTTTAACTGTCCATGGGATGTTCAGCGCTCTTCTCAACACCATAGCTAAGAGGCATCAACTATTCTTCTGTCCCTTATTCACTGTCCAGCTATCAGATGCATAGTAAGTGATCAGAAACATGGCCTGAATCAGATGTGCTTTAGTCCTCAAATGGACATCATTACTTCTCAGTAATTTGGAGAGGTTGCTCTAACTGCAGATTTTCCCAGTGCAATGCATCTCCTGATTTCCTGACTGCTGGTACCAACGGTGTTAACTGTGGGCTCAAGCAAGATGAAGTTATTGACAGTTCCAATCTTTTCTCCATCTATCATGATGTTGCCTATTAGTCCACTGTTAAGAATCTTTGTTTTCTTGAAACTGATATGCAAACCATATTGAAGACTGTATTCTTTGATCTTCTGCAACAAATGCTTTAAGTCCTCCTCATTTTTAGCAAGCAAGGTTGTGTCATCTGCATAATGCAAGTTACTGATGAGTCTCCCTCCAATTCTAATGCCACATTCTTCTTCATAGAATCCAAATTCCTGAATAATTTGCTCAGCATAAAAATTGAATAGGTATGGAGAGAGAATACAACCCTGACACACTCTCTTCTTAATTTTAAACCAATTAGCATTCCCTTGATCTGTTCACACAACTGCCTATTGGTCTAGGTATATGTTTTGCATGAACACAAATAAATGTTCTGGGATTCCCATTCTTCTCAATGTTAGTCATAACTTGACATGATCTACACAGTCAAATGTCTTTGCACATATAATGCATAAAAAGACCTTCTTCTGATATTCTTTACTTTCATCCAGGATCCATCTGACATCAGCAATGATATCCCTGGTGCCACAGCCTCTTCTAAATACTGCTTGAATTTCTGGTAGTTTCCGATATATGTACTGTTTCAGCTGTTTTTAATGACCTTCAGCAGTATTTTGTTTGCAAGGGAAATTAATGATATTGTTCTATAGTTTCCACATTTAGTTGGATCACCTTTCTTGGGAATGGGAACAAATATGGATCTCTTCCAATCTTTTGGCCAGACAGCCATCCTCCAAATTTTATGGTATAGACTAGTGAGTTCATCCAAGGCTACATTTGTTAATTGAAACAGGCCAATCAGTATCCCATCAATTCTTGGGGCCTTATTTTTAGCTAATCCTTTAAATGCCGCTTCTACTTCCTACTTCATTACCATTGGCTCCTGTTTTTTATAGTATTTATTGAATTTTTTCAGTATCAGTCAATTCTTTTTGTTATAGCAATTCTAAGTAATTCCTCCATCTTCTTTTGATGCTTTCTGGGTCATTCAATATACTGCCCATAGCAACTTTCAATATTGCAACTCAAGGCTTAAATTTGATTTTTAGTTCACTCAGCTTGAGAAATGCAGAGTGAGTTCTTCTCTTTCAATTCTCCAATTCCAGCTCTCTGCATATTCCATTATAATATGTTGCTTTGTCTTCTTGAGCTGCCCTTTGCAACATTGTGTGCAGTTCTTTTACTTTAACATGTTTTCCCTTTGTTTTGGCTTCTCCATGTTTCAGTGCAATTTTTCAGTCTCTCTAGCATCCACTTTCTCATCTGTCTCTGTAATAACCTTTTTCTTTCTTCATGAATGGTATCCTTGATATGACTCCACAATTCATCTATCTTCAATGCTTCAAACCTACTCTTAAGATGATATTGAAATTCAGGTGGAATAGATTTAGGATCATATCTTGGTTCTCATGGACTTACTTTCATTTTCTTCGGCTTCATTTTGAACTTGCATATGAGTAATTAATGGTCTGGTCGAGTTTTGCTGAAATTGAGCTTCTCCATTAAGTCCTTCCACCTATGTAGTCAATCTGATTTCCATATGGACCTGCAGTTCATCAGGTGAGATTCACGTATGACGTTATATGTGAATAAATCATTGCAAATACAAAATTCGATCATTCTATTTCTAGCCTCATTTCTATCACCAAGCCCGTATTTCCAAAACAAGCTTGGAAGCAGGAGTGGCATCCACTTCTGAAATAGCTTGTCTCCAGAAACAAGTGGAGAAATGATGAAAGTTATAAAAGTTTTATGGTATTTTGTTCACAGAGTGGCTATGAGTTGTCTATAACTCAATAGCACTTAACAACAACAACATAGAGAGAGTTCTGCTGGCCTAGTGGATAGAAAGTTATGGCTACCAAGCTAAAGGAGGGTGATTTTCATCTGCAGTCCTCAGGCCTGGATTTAACTGTTTTTGGTCAAACATTCTTCTAAGTGGCACAGCACTGGTCTGTGAATTTGCTGTACAGAGGTAACCTGTGATTGCTATGATGCTAAACACGGTGACAGTGATGTGTCAAATGAGATAATAGCTGCCCATGGTGGACAGTGTTTGGTGTAGCTCCTCAATTAAAACAAGCTTGAAAGCAGGAGTGGCATCCACTTCTGAAATAGCTTGCCTCAGGAAATTCTATGAACTTGGAGAAATGAAAGTTATACAAGTGTTCAGGTCTTTCATTCATAGGGTTGCTATGAGTCTTCTATGACTTGGTGGCACTTAACAACAACAACATTCTAGGTTTCAGGCCTTGAACACTAATCATGAAGACCAGATAAGCTGTGGAAAGACATCAAGAATATAATTTATGAAGAATACAAAAAGTTATTCCAAAGAAGAAAGAAGAAAAGACCAAAACGGATGTCAGAAGAGACTCTGAATATTGCATGAGAGTGCCAAGAAGCCAAAGCAGAAGGAAGAAATCAAAAAGTTAAGGAGCTGATAGATTTCAAAGGGCCACTCGGAAAGACAAGGCAAAATACTATAATGGAAAGGTCAAATTCACTCAGTATTTCTTAAACTGAAAGAACTAAAGAATAAATTCAAGCCAATGCTTAAGGATGCTATGGCCGACTAATCAATGATTCAGGAAGCATTAAAAGAAGATGGAAGAAGTATACAGAGTCATTGTACCAAAAAGAATTGGCTAACACAGAAGAATTTCAAGAATTCTTATGATCAAGAGGCAATGGTGATAGAGGAAGAAGTGCAAGCTGCTCCGAAGGACTTGGAAAAAAATAAAGCCCCAAGAATTGATGGAATACCAATTGACATATTTCAGCAAAAAGATGCTGCCGTGCATGTGCTCACCAAGATGTGCCAAGAAATCCGGAGGACAACTACTTGGTCAACTGACTGGAAAAGATCCATATTTATTCCCATTCCAAAAAAAGGTGAGCCAACAAAGTGTTGAAATTATTGAACAATATCACTAATATCACACACTAGCAAAATCCTG